TGTGTGTGTGTGTGTGTGTGTGTGTGTGTGTGTGTGTGTGTACACGTACATATCTATCTATCACCTATCTATCTATCTCCAAAATCCATTCCAGAAGGGTAAAAAACTTTCAGGAAAGGTATAATCATTAGAGCCAAGTGTAAGGGAGTCTCATGCCCTATAAACTATACTTAACACCATACATACATCAACCATGCATAGTGGCTGATATTCTAAATATATTTATTTCTTTTTCTGTATGACTGGGTAGAAGAGCATTATTTGAAAAAGTGTTATTTTCCTAGTTTAATCCTGAAAAAAAAACCTTCATGGGATTCATTTTGGGCTCAGCAACATGCTTGAAATAAATATGTGTGGCTGTCATATCAACAGCTCACTTTTTAAAGAAATTAACAATTGCTTATAGATGTGAAGTTTGACATGGGAATTGCAGTAGCTGATTATAATCAGGATTTTTTTCTTTTTAAAATATGACCTCTAGTGGTTACAACTCTTATTATCTAGCTTTTCAGATTGCTGAAAACTATCCATGTGTTATTATTATAAGGATTTATTACAGGTAGTAGTTGAATTTGTATACCTTGGCAGAATGCTTACTAAAGATGGGGAAATTGAAGAATTTTTTTAAAACTATGCAAATGGTCTAATGCTGCTTAAGACTTCCCTAGAGTGTGTGTGTTTATGTATATTTGTGTCTGCCTGTACCCGTATCCCCTTTCAAGTTTTTGGCTACTGCCTGGTCTAGTGTCTGCAATTTTCTTGGCAAGGTTTTTGGGATTGTTGTGGTTTTTTACCTCCTCCCTAGGACTATGAGTACTTGACCAAGGTCACTTAGCAGGCTTTGTGTCAAAGGCAGGAGTAGAACTCATGGTTTCGGGTATCTAATATGATGCCTTAGCTACTATACCAAACCCTAGATTTATGGCAGCCAAAATCTGGATTAACCCCAAACAGATGGATTTTGCTTCAGTTAGATTATGACTCACCTTGAATGTCCTAGTCAGATGCTGAACTGTGGAAAAATTACATTTTTTCTTTGTCAACATTCCTTGAGTGCCCAGAATAAAGGAAATATGATTATTATATGGCTGGCTCATGTGAAGAAAATGAAGAAAGTTTGTCTCACAAAGCATACATGAAAGAAAAGTGAATGGGTGGATGGGGAGTAGAAATGAGAAAGTTAGGTTGGTTGGTTATGTTGATGAAATCCTCAAAAACAAGGTGAAAAGTTTGAAGAACAAAAGGACGGAGTGAAAGCTAATATGGTAGCAGAGAAGTATGGAGATGTATAGTAGATGGTATTGACAGAAACCTGATTCTTTTTACCCAATTCCTCTTCCTTATTATTAACTCTTTGCACATATTGCTTAATCGGGAAGGGACCAGCATGGTAGGTTTTTACTCTTCCCTTCTTAAATTGACCTCCCAGTTCCTTGGCACTGACCGAGTCACCTTTTGGGTTTAATAAGTTGATTATTATTATTTTTTGCTTTCTGCTTTCTCTATTCCCTTTTCAACTGTACAGCAGCATCCGCTAGGAAGGTCAAAATAGTTGGTCACAATGATGTGATTAAAGCCTTGGTATATGCATGTTAATGCATACTCAAAAAGGGCATGACTTTGATTCCATAGTCATGTCAGTCATCCTGCCTCTTAGACGCCCTTTCCCTGCAGAGACCCCTGCTGCGTTTATATCATCATCTTAATATTAGCTTAGGAATTATAAAATGGACTCAATGTCATACATCTTGTCTAAAATCATCAGATTGATAGTTCTCAGCTTAACGACATGTTCCAGGATGCTGTAATCAGGAGCCAGATGAGCTGTAATGCATACAAAAGACTCTAAAGTTTGGCCAAATGGATCCATGTTAGTCTAGGAATCTAAGAAAATCTGACTCTCCATCTAAGGAGACTGATACAGCCTTTCAAAACACAAAATCTGCTCATGTCTATTGCAACTTTCACTGCTGTTTGAGCTGTTTGAAAAATCAGCTGAAGTGTATGCATTTGATAGCTGAAATCACTTTAGCTTGGACTGATTTGCTAAATTAAAATCACATAATAATTAAGAATTATGTTAAGAATAATTAAATATATCAACAGCTTCCTTGCCTTTCAGTTGCCTCTATGTGTGTGAACTATGCAAAATTGCTTTAAAATGAGAGTAGGAGTGTTTGATAGATTTTGCCCCATTTTCAAAAACTCTTCTTTTGAATGGGGAACATTAGAGTGATGCTTGGAGAAAACACTCAAATCAAGTATTTACAGTTCAATTTTATGCAAGGTAACCATGGAGCATCTGCCCTAACATTCACAAATTGCTTTGACATTTGAATGCAAAAGCAATTTGTCAGCTCTACTAAAGACCTACCTGGGTTTTAAAAAGCAAAAGAAAACACTCCAAGCCAGGTTTGCATATACATGTTAATTACTTCACTGCTCACCCACATCTACAAATCATCACGGAGATACCACAGAGAGAACATTCATACTACCATGTATTCAGATAATATGGCTTTGCAATGAATTGATAAGCATCTTCATTTGTAATTCAAGACAGAGGACTCAAATGTGGATGTATGTCTCAGGTGAACCAGCATCTAATTTAGGATAAATATCTTTTTGACAAAAAAGTTAGTTAATGGTATTTTTTCAAGAGGTAGAATTCAACAGTAACAAAAATGGACAAGAAAATTAATAAACATCAAAGGTAAATCAGAGTACCTGGCTGGAGGATATGTGGGACTGTCTTTGATTTTTGGGTCTCTGCTGCGCATGCGTGGGAGATGCACGAAAAAATAAGCACATAAATGCTATTCCTTGCTTGACAGTTTCCGAGTGGCCTTGTGAATGAAGCCTAGTAAAGGTTTGTTGTGAACTATGGTGGCTTGCACAATTGCAGCCTTTGCAGAGGTTTGCCATACTGAGCTGTTCAATCAGAAATGGTCGTTATTACAAGATATAAAATGAGTTTTGGTTTGGATTGTGTTAGAATGCTTTAAAAAGTTTTCCTTTTGTTTCAGAGGTTTGTTTATTGGGGCAAAAATTCCCTGTGAACCAAGAAACCGTTTTGGGTTTTGTAGTCCCAACAACTTAAAGGCTTGATCGATTGAAACAACTAGATACACATGGTTATTGGGTAAGCCATGGTCCTTCATCCTTGTTACTTGGGAGACAAATGATGTGGGAATGCCAATTTGGTCTAGTGGTTAAGGCACCTGGTTAGAAAGCAGGAGACTGAATTCTAGTTCCACCTTAGCCATAAAAGCTGGCTGGGTGACTTTGGGTCAATCACCAGGAGAGAGTGAGTTCTAGTTCCACCTTAGCCATAAAAGCTGGCTGGGTGACTTTGGGTCAATCACCAGGAGAGAGTGAGTTCTAGTTCCACCTTAGCCATAAAAGCCAGTTAGGTGACTTTGAGGCAGTTACTATCTCTCAACCCAACTCACTCTACTTGGTGGTTGTGGGGAAAATAGAGGAGGGTATATTGGGTATACCTGGAGGTATTTGTAAAGGTACAAATGCCAGGGTGCTTATGATGGTCTTAGCTACAACTTTCTGATAAGCTGTCAGGCCAGGCATAATAATACATCAGTTATGACTTGCTGCAGTTTTAAATTTTATTTTACTTATTATTTTATTAGCTGGATACCCGTGCACTGCTTCAAAACTATGTGATCGGGCTTGATAAATTGACACAGCTTGAAAATTAGTGAGTAGTTACCAGGCTTGCCCCACAGAAGCCTCTCCTCTCTTCTCCCCCTTCTCTCCCTCAGGCTTGCCCCACAGAGACCTCTCCTATCTTATCCTCTTCTCTCCCTCAGTCTAACTCCTTAGCATCAGAATGTTTTTCAGGTGGGGAGGGGAGTAGAACACCTAACTCGTTAGCATCAGAGTGTGTTAATAATAATATAAGAAATACTAATGATCTGATAGTCATTTTGAAAAATAATTTCTTAGCGAGCACCTAGAAGCCAAGAGGAACATACGTGCCAAATTTCAAGTTTGTAGGCTTTACGGTTCTGGAGATTTTGTGATGATGCATGAGAGGCATTTCGCTTTTATATATGTATAGATTTGCTTACAGGCTGCCTTTATTGTTTTTACAAATAACTTAAGATGGCAAACATACACAACAAACCTTCCTCCTATTTTCCCCATAACAAAAACTTTGTGAGATAAGTTGGGCTGAGAGACCAGCTGATTTCCATGACTAAAAGCTGTGTTGTCCACAGCTTCTAGTAGTCATTGCCACATACCTATGTTGCGAAGGGGTTGATGGTTGATTTGACTTCCTGTTCTGTGCTTTGCTATTTGAGGGTCCCTAGCCATAATGTTAAAATTTATAGATTTAAAAAGAATGCCAATGCTACCCTTCCCAAACAACAGACACATATGTTCCACTCAAGGCAGTGCTGAAGAAGTCGGCTTGAGCCTTAAGGTGGGACTAGAACTCTAACCACTAGACCTAAATGAGCAGATGAACTGTCAAAGAGTAGAATTTTTGGATCAGATTTCAGAATTTTGAGATTCAGTTTTCTATTGATGCATATTTAACTAAGACCATTTTAAAGAGCTGGTTGTCAGGCCTGCAGCCAGTTCCTTTTGGAATCTTTGGCCTGCCACACTAATATTCTATTCTACTATGCTGTTTCATTAGTGGGGAATTGAGAGGGGGAATTGTAAGGAGTAGAATGTGATGTCACAATAAAATTCCTTTCTAGAATCCAAGGTCATCCTTTGTCTCACACCTCTGCACCTGACCGGAACTGGATGGTTGAAACTGCCAGCATAGCAGTGGAAGATTGGACCATGTGATGGACTTGTGGGTGTGGGGGCAAGATCATGAACTCTCCACTGGGTGGGGAAAACCCAGGAAGCTCAGATTCGGGTATTCCCAGATGTGCCAACATAGCATCAGAGTGTGTTAATAATAATATAATAAATAAATAAATAATAAATTGGAACTTTGAGCAATACTTTGCCTTGGACTCTGATTTAATTTTGGATGTTATTTGGATCCCTGACATTAACCTAAATCTGAGCTTCCTGGGTTTTCCCCACCCAGTTGAAAGTTCAAGATCTTTCTCCCACACCCACAAGTCCATCACAGGGTCCAATCTTCCACTGCCAGTTCCACCCACTTCATAGATCTTCTGAAATAATGGATTACCTCAAAACTTTCTTCTGCGTGAAGATATCAGGATTTGAATACAGTGATGATCTGAGCTTGTAGCTTCATGCTTCATGGCACCAAAAGGGGGAACCAGAGAAAATTGGTTGTTGGGTAAATAGGAAGACTACAAGAAAATAGCAATAGATTTAGGCAGCCAACTTACTTTAGGATTTTACAAGCAGCAGTGAAACTTTTAATTATTATCTTATTTGGCCATAGAGATAGGGTAGGACTGGTGGAACTTTTATGGGAGCTCAGGATCCTATTTCAGAAGTTAAGACACCTTTCAACAAATGTGATACAAAATCAATGTGTACACTAAGTCTAGGGAAGGTTACATAGCACCTATGGGGTGTTTTCCAATCCTGAGTGCATGGTCTTTTGCATTTATGGAACATTGATGCTTATGCTTTTTTTACTTTCTTATTGGGGGAGGGTTTTAAAGATTGATATTGACTCTCAACAGTTTGTCACATTTTCTTGAATTTCAAATATTTCTTGAATATTTTATCGTTTTCTAGATCTGAAAGTCCCTGAAGAAAAGTTCTTGGCGGTGGCTTCCTTATTGTTTCTGTTCAGAAATGCAACAACTTCTACGTTATGCTATGATCTGCCAACGATTGCTGAAAATCTGTTCTACAGACAGACTTGCCGAGACGGACTCATTTTTGTTTAGAATCATGTGGCAAATACAATGGAAAAATGGCAGGAGCTGAAGAGCTAGCAGGAAGACTATGGTAGTCTTGCCTTTCTTTCTTTCTTTCTTTCTTTCTTTCTTTCTTTCTTTTTCTTTCTTTCTTTTTCTTTCCTTTCTTTCTGCCTTTCCAGTGTTTTGTCTTAGAATGGCATGGAACAAGACACCTTCAGACATGTTCTTTCACTTTAATGAGAGTATCCAATTCACCACCTCTGCTCATACATCCTTTCCAGTTTCACTCAGGATATTAATGGCTATAGTAATGCTCCTTATGATTGCCATTGGATTCTTAGGCAACACCATTGTCTGCATGATAGTTTACCAGAAGCCAGCCATGCATTCCGCAATAAATCTACTTTTAGCTACACTGGCTTTCTCTGACATTATGTTGTCTTTAGTCTGCATGCCATTTACTGCTGTCAGCATTATTACAGTAAACTGGAATTTTGGAGCTCACTTCTGCCGCATATCTGCCATGCTTTACTGGTTTTTTGTCTTGGAGGGGGTCTCAATACTTTCAATCATTAGTGTGGATCGATTCCTCATTATTGTCCAGCACCGAGACAAGCTGAACCCCCACCGTGCCAAAGTCGTGATAGCTGTTTCGTGGGTCTTCTCGTTCTGTATCTCCTTCCCTTCCGTTGTTGGGTGGACATTTGTGGAGGTACCAAGCAGGGCTCCCCAGTGTATCCTTGGATACTCTGAATTCCCTTCAGACCGAGCTTATGCAGTGATGCTGCTTGTGGTCACATTCTTTGTCCCTTTTGGCATTATGTTGTATTCTTACCTTTGCATCCTGAATACTGTCCGTCAGAACACAGTCCGGATCCACAACCACACAGAGAACATCTGCCTCAGCCAGGTGAGCAGGCTAAGTCTAATAGGACTGCAAAAGCCTCACCACATTGATGTAGACATGAGCTTCAAAACTAGGGCATTCACTACCATCTTTATTCTGTTTGTTAGCTTTTCCCTATGCTGGCTTCCGTACACAGTCTTTAGCCTGATGTCTGTCTTCAGCCGACGGTTCTATTACAGCCCCTCTTTCTATATCATTAGCACTTACGTACTGTGGCTAAGTTACCTCAAGTCCGTTTTCAACCCCATCATCTACTGCTGGAGGATCAAGAAATTCCGTGAGTCCTGTCTGGAGTTCATGCCAAAAACATTTAAAATCTTTCCTCAAGTGCCTGGACGGACAAAACAGAAAATAAGGCCGAGCACAATATATATCTGCAGTAATCCCCCATCTGGAGTTTAGAAGTAAACCATGGTCATTAATGTATTACAAAGGAAAATGTGGAATGAATGAATTCAACTGTGGTTGAATAGACACTAGGTGGTTTTATCCTGGTAAAAGAAATCCTCGTTCAGCAGTTATCAATTTTGAAATTAGAAATATTTCTTCTACACTGCCTTTAATAGTGTTAATACTGTCTGTAGTAGTGTTTTATGAATAAGGTACACATCCAGATTGTTGGGGGTAGTATGCTGGCTCTGTAAACCACTTAGAGAGGGCTGTAAAGCACTATGAAGCGGTATATGTCTTAAGTGCTATTGCCATCATATTTGAGGATTGTCTGTGTTTCAAGTTGAATTACAGCACATAATCACATTACATTATCCTAAATGTGGTTTTATCAAATCTACTGCCAATAATAACACCGCCTTTGTAATTTTATTTCCTTCCAATTAAAAGAATAAACATCAAGATACCTGCTTTTTTATTTCAGTGTCTATCCCTTCTATCAAATTGGTTGTCTTGCAAAAACAAGTATCAAATTGCAACCTGAATATCTTACAGGGAGAACCATTTTTGCACAAGTCCATTCTGACACTTTACAGTTGGGCTTGGTTTAGATCTCTCGGTCTACCTTTAAATAATGGAAGATAATCAAGGTTCAAATTACGGAACATGGATGATTTAACCTTTTCCCCTGCTAGAGTCCTTACCAAAAGTGCTTCTTGCACACACAAAAAGCCATTGAAATATCCCACAAATAAGGATTGTGGTCATCAAGATCACAACAGAAGGAAAACAAATCCCTTACGATACATAGGCAATCAGTTCTGATTGTAATTATTTGTTGTTGTGATTTCAAATGAAAATAGGCAATAAACAAATTAAATACATTACAGCATTTAATACAGGTATCCTCTGAACAATGACAGGTCACTTAACAACCTTTCAAAGTTATAACAGCCCCCCCTCCCCCAAAAATGCCTACATGCCAGTGGTGGGTTCCGGGCGGTAAGGCCCGGTACAGACGTACCGGTGGTAGTTGCGGCCCTCAGTGAAATTGAGTTTGACACCCCTGCCTTAGACCAAGAGCACAGATAAACCTCCAAGTGGTCTCAACAAGTCTCGGACCGGATGACTGGGACAAGAAATATAAATCCTTCCATTCTCCACAGTTCAGTCAGAAGTGAAGCAGCTTTTGGGATGAGAAGTGAAATGTCTTCAAGGAAAAACAAAGTCCAGTTGCCTTTTGAAAAAGCACTTTTGGAATATTAAAGCTACACAACATATTTTCATTACACATAAACCACCTAATGCAACTGGATTTAGTTTAATTTTAGTAGATGGGAACTGTTGACTAGAAAACTACACACACGTGCATGTTATTGACAGGAGTAGAGAACTTGAAGGGACAAGCATATACTGTATATTGAATAATAATGCCTTTCCTTAAATCAAGGTGATCAGTAACTGAAGATGTTACCTAGTTTGGTAATGAAATGTCTGCAAGAAAAAAAAGTTCAGAGAGCACCAAGGACCCCTCATGTTAATCCTGTGCTACATTCTCCTTTAGTAGTGATTAATAACTGTTAGCCCTAGAAGCTGCATAAGGCTGTAGCTAGTGAGTTGCTTGCTGATATACATTCATAATCATGCAGATAATATAGTTTATTCTTCCAAACTTTTACAGTGCTCATTTTCTAAAAGACTTAATAACTGTAATGTTCAATTAGTATGAAAATCAAAGTATTTGATTTCTAGCATTCACACTCAACATCATCTGTACCAGTGATGGCAAACCTATGGCACGCGTGCCATGGCCAGCTGAGTTCACCCTTTTTTAAAGCCATTTTTTGCCCTCCCCAGCCTCCAGAGGCTTTATAGGAGCCTGGGGAGGGCAAAAAGAGCCCACCCCGGAGGCCCCCTGGAGGCTTAATGAGCTTTCCTGAAACCTCTGGAGTGCTTAAAACGACCCTCCGAGCAAACCGGAAGTGACATCTGGTTTGCTCGGAGGGTCGTTTTA